CTTTTTATAGTCCTAATTTTACAACTGATCTTGAAAACGATCGTCTAAACGTTGAGGTTCTCTTCCTGTATGCAGAAATCTAGTTCTTGCTCCTGTTCCCGTTCCCCTAAACACTTGAAGATAATTTGCTTTCTAATGACGATGATTGTTTGTCTGGTTTTCACCCTTTTTTTCTTTCTGATCACAAAATTTCTGTGTGATTTTTCAATTTCCAGACGACGGCGATCATCAGGCTAAAATCCAGGGCGTAAGTGTTTTGGCACTCGACGCGTTGACGTCTCGAGCGTCCAGCTCATCAATCGCTGTCGCCGTGGAGGGTTGGGCTTGGGCTCAGGCTCGGGCTCGGGCCCCAGGCAAACCACATCAAACCACAGACAGAATTTGTCTCCCTGTGTCGGGGCATATTTTGCTTTGACAAATGTCTCGCACCTAATCAAATTTGATACAACTGAATGAGCCTCGTCCCCGCAGCAGTTTCCGTTTATGCAAATGCTTCTAGATGCTCCTGGTAGGTCCTGTTCCTGCTGCCGCTCCTTCCACTCTTTCCACTCATTCTGCTGTGCTCAGCAATCAGTTGTCAAGTCGAGGCTTGTTGCAAATTTATCATCATTTAATTTCCATTTGGCGTTCGTTCGTGCCAAATGTTAATGACGCTGTTGACAACGGCTCGAGTACTCCGGGAGAGGCAAATCAGCGTTATCCTTTTGGCTGCCTCCTTGCTGCACTTACCAATGCAGTCTCCGTGCTGCTTTGACGCGCTCCATCCACATCCACATCCACATCCACATCGACAGCCATCCATGCACCCATCCACGACCGACTCGTCCCCGTCCTCACTGACAAATTATGTCCCCATTGACATCGCTCATACGCCTCGTGGGTCTCTCGCCAGCGCTGCTCATTTGCCTAAGTGCGCCCGGTCTGCGGTGGAGGCTTTTAATTAATTGTTAGCCTGCGACTTATTGACGGTCTGGTTGGTTGGTTAGCGTAACCGTAACAGCCAGCAACCAGCCACCAGCCACCAGGGGAGGCGGAAGACCCGAAGCTGAAGCTGAAGCTGAAGGCAACAAAAAATGTCAAACTAGCACTTAAAAAGCCGCCACGCTTTGCTACTTGTCAACCACGCGCCACCGTCGTCGTCGTCGTCGTCGCAGTGGCTATGCTGGGGCAGGGGCAGTGGCAGTGGCAGCCACAGTCAACGCCACCACCCTCAACAATATGTTTCACGTCCAGACGACGGATTGGGTTGGGTGTTGGGTGTTATACGCTGACTGAAATATGAAACATGACACTGGAAAACAAAAATTCCGTCCGATGGAGATTTTGCCAGAGTAGTAGAAGGGTTTTTTATGTTTCAAAGTTCCGCTTTAATTCACTTATTTCAGCTCGAACAATTGCAACTCTTTTCACGTTTTCCAAAACGATCCAATCTAAGCAAAAACATTGTATTCCACTTTCCTCAAATGGTTCCGCTACCCTGCAGCATAGTGTAACTTTCCAGCAACCCTGCTAAGCAATTGCAATGTGAAACATTTTGACAAAAAGCCACCACCCACAAATTAGGCTGCAAGACTAGTGAAAGAGGACTGGAGTGGGGGCAAAAAGAGAGAAAGAGAGAGAGAGAGAGCCTGGGGGCTTGATAGACGATTGAAATCGTCGCCATGTTTAGTCGAAGCTAAGGCGGGAGAAGAGCTAATGGAGATATAGGGAAAGGATATGGGAACATCAAGGGAGATGCGACTGCAACAGCTTGACCCCTTTGCAAGCCGTCCAATCTTCATCGAGGCTCGGTTTATGGCACCCGCAACCCAACCCAACCCAACCAAAACCAAACCCAAAACCAAACTCAAACCCAACCACAGACGAAGGGAAGCGGACCTTCCATGTAAAAACAATACATTCGAAAATTGCCAGGAAATATTTGAAAATTAAATTTCGACGAGGTCGTTGCAATCATTTGGCTAGCAAATTGTATCACCGTTATGCTAATCCGTCTGGGCCTAATCCGGCGGATTAGCGAGTGCGTCTTTTGCCTAAAAAAGTGCACAAAAACGAAGAGAGTTTTTGGGAAAACTTGAAGGAAATCAAGAGTCTGTTGTCTCTATGTGGTTAATCCGGGTCGGGCCGTCTCAGGTAGCGCTACACAAAGAAGCATAAAAGGAGCTAAGACAGAAACCGACACAGATACAGATACAGACAGATATATAAAAATCTCGCGACATTTTGCACACTCCTTTCTGGAGGACGCTAATCCCGGCCATAAAGTCGTAAAAAAAAGGAATATTACGATGTGAGCAGCAAATTATATTTGTACACATGCCAAAATGGGCTAAGGCGTTGTCCGAGTAGGAGTCGTGGGCGTTGGGCAATAAAATCTTCAGACAATCCTTAAAAACTGCTCAGGTTCTGGATGAGTTGGATTGGAATTTCAATTTGCACATTTGAGCTTCTCTCAGAGGGAGGGGGGAAATAGAGATCTGGGGTTTAAGCTTGGCTTATGCCTTGGTTGGATGCCTGGACTAGGTATCACTTCCGGTAAAGTATACTCGTAGAGTTGAATGTTGGCAAATGAATGAAGGCTTTGGCTACAAAAAGATACATATCGGATACAGTCTTACCAAAAGGATTTAGACGGGATGTTATGTTACTGTTTACTGTCTTAAGATGATGGATGGAAGTGAAACCTAAGCCCATTTTTAATTAGCCCATAAACTGACCTTTTATGAATTCAAATAAAGAAAGGAAATAAATTGTAAAAATTAAATACGTTTTGCGAAGAGTAAAAGAAATAATAAGAGCAGCATTAAGTAAGACCATAACTATAGTTTTTTATAAGAAAAATCTCATCATTTTAAGGTAATTCTCTCGGATTATTCTATTTTTATGACTTTCAATTTCATTCATTCAAATATTTCTGATCCACAGGCGGTTACTTACTCACTTATATCCGAAAAAGTACCATATTAAATTCAATCTCTACGTTATATCCATGTCCACTTCACAATAAATGAGATAAGCAACCCTGTTTCTCTGCTAGAAACAGTTCCAAAAGGGCCTGAAAGCCTGAAAAATATAATCTTTATATAATTATTCAATATCACGTCAATGCTAGGTAAATATTTGTGAAATTTATATATCGAATGGAGAATGGAGAAACACGACAAAACAACAATGCGCATAATAACAACAATAATCAATATTTGATATTTTAACACATTTGACATACACAGAGAGAAGTGGGAGAGAGGGGGAGAGGATAGGAGTGGAGAGGAGTTAGAGGTGGAAAATATTGAATAGAAACCAAAGAGTAGAAAACGGCAATCGAAACGTGAGAGAAGAGAAGAGATCAGAGGAGAAGACAATGCAAGTGGATTTATTAATGACCGCAATTATTCTTATTATTATTACAAGAAGAAGTCAGAAATCAAAACGAGGAGAAACAACAACTCGTTGATTTCTTTCGCCAGGGGATTCTGTTTCACTCGGAGAGTGAGCAGCGGGCGGCCCCCCGTTGCTCTCCAAAAAACACACACAAAAACAACACGGTGACCCCCAGCCCAGCCAAAGATCGATCCATAGACGACCTTTTGTCCAAACTATCGGATTCTGTCTTGGAGGCGCAAAATAAACAGCGCATTAATCAATAGAAATTAATACACAACGGCAAATAGTTGTATAATGCCAAATCAAATTTCATTTTTTTTCTTCCCTTCGCAGCGGGTGTATAAAACCAGCCATACAAAAAATGAGCAAAATAATGGTGAAGATATCTTCTCTGAGTGTTCATATGTACACGCGCACGAGTATGGAAAGACAAGGTTAATCTGGTTGGAAAACGGAGCTCTTCGGATCGAAACTACAAAAAAACAGATTTGAAAAGGTGAAAAGTCGTTCGCATTAGTTTTATGAAGATCCAAATGTATCCAAATGACTCACTCCTTGGAACTGAGTTTATTATGGTAATGCCTTATGAATATTCAAATTGAATATGATTTTTGATGATTCTGATGTCAGTTGAGGACATCAACTAATTTAAAATATTATTGGATCTTTTGGCCATTTATAAATTAGGAAAATATGATGATCAAACTGTGAAAATCTAATTATGTAAATTTACATATAAATTTTGGAAATAATATCACACCATAAATATATAAATTGGAATTATGTTTGAAGATGAAGATGTACTTATAAACGTATGTTTAAGATATTTAAGAGAAAATATTGGTATATATAAGTCGAGATACAAGAGTAATGCACAAAATTTCAGCTAATGTTTACTGTTCCTAAAACATTAGATATCTCGGTATTTTAAAGGTAATTTTTACCATTATTTAGAGTTAATCGAATATTGGAGCCCAGCAAAACATTGTTAATCCTTTCTGTTCTCTGACAGAGTCAGGCTGCCATTTTTTTAGGTACAATATATAATATACACATACATATTTACATATGTATCTATACTCACGGAAATTTGAAGATTTGTAGAAGATAGTAGAAGAAGCTGAAGTTATTTTAATAATTTGTAAACTTGTGATCTTTGATTTGATGATGCATTCTAAAAATATAAACTCTTGAAGAAATGCCTTCCCCAACCATCCGAGCTGTAAATAATTTCCAAAGAAATAAACTTGATATAATTTTTGGTTGTTTTTTTTTAAATATTTTTGTTTATTCATTTTGAAATTTCTTTGCTTTGTGTGAGCTTTTCCGCTTAGATGATAACGTTTTATTTTAATACATTAATAATACAATAATACACTGATGTATATACGTTCCGTTCCTGTTCTGGAGACTCTGTATCTATAAAAAAAAAACGAGTGTGCTGGGATATTTACAATTTGATTTGGTTAGACACTAAAGACTACAACTACAACGTAGGTTAGGTGCTGGTGCTGACACAAAAAAAAAAAAAAAAAACGACTCGAGGAGGAGCTCTCTCAATGCTTAAAACTAAATAAAATTAATTTACAATTAGGATTTTTCCATAGATACTCGTATATCTTTTCGATTTGATACCTTTCTTGTTTTCCTTAATTGGTTAGTGCGAAAAAATAAATTATTGTTTAGCGTATATTATAGATGGTTTTTTGTGTGTATTGGCTAGGAATGTGGTTTCTTGTGAGTGATTTTTCTTAGATCTGTTTAGAGATTTCACTAGAATTAAGCGGGGAGAATTGATAGAGGGTTGAGGACTGATAGATGTTGGCTTACTTAGAGCTTCTGAAGATTTAAAACCAGTGGATCACTTTGGGAATGCTTCAACAATTGTACTCTACTCTGTACTCTACGCGGGGGACGTGATTCCCTCTAATAGAGGACCGGCACTGGTCGCCTCAGGGCGCTGTCCATGGAGCCGTCCATTCCATTGGGTGTGATGGTTCCCGGCGAGGATCCTGGCGAGGAGGTGGACGATGAGGTGTACAGGCCAGCGGCTGCGGCATTGGCGGAGTGGGCGGCGTACAGGGAGGGCGCCGACATGCCCGAGTAGATGCCGGAGTAGAAGCTGCTCAGGGACGTCGGGGGAAGCTGGGGCGGTGCTTGCTGGGACTCCAGCACCTTGTGGCCCTGATTGTTGGCCGCCGCAGCGGCTGCGGCCTGTGACTGATGCAGCTTTGACAGGGCCAAAGGATCAAAGCCTCCGAAGTACGGCACCGGGTAGGGCTGATCGAGGTGGTGCGACGGGGCAAAGTACGGAGGCAGTTGGTGGAAGGGATTGTAGCCCCCGGCACCGGCTCCTGGACCACCGCCCAACTTCTGCTGTCCCATTCCGTTGGCCTGCATCTGGAGTCCGCCCTGGGGGCCAGCGGTCATGGGATTCTTGGGCTTGCGACGCGGGCGGTACTTGTAGTCTGGGTGCTCCTTCATGTGAAGGGCACGCAGGCGCTTGGCCTCGTCGATGAAAGGCCGCTTCTCGGACTCAGCCAGCAGCTTCCACTCGGCGCCCAGGCGCTTGGAGATCTCGGAGTTGTGCATCTTGGGGTTGTCCTTGGCGATCTGACGGCGCTGGAGCCGCGACCAGACCATGAAGGCGTTCATGGGTCGCTTGATGTGTCCCTCCTGGCCGGGCGAGGTGGCGAGGCTGTGCATCCCAGAGGATTGATGGTTGCCGTGCCCCGAAGATCCGATGCTGGAACCGTTGCCCATGCCGCTGCTGCCCAGGCTGCTCTGGCTGCCCAGACTTCCGGCGGAGCCGATGGAGCTGTTGGGCGACAGGGTCTGCTGGGCCGACACGGCGCTGTGCATATGATGGGGCGTCATGTGATGGTGGTGGCCCATGCCGGGGCCGCTGGGAAGCCCGTTGCCATTTGGCGAGCCACCCATGGCGGCCAGGCTCTGGGAGTAGTGAAGCACCCGCTTGATATCCATATCCATGCCCGGGCTCAGCTGCAGCTGGCCCTGGTGGGCGTAGTCGCTGGGCGAGGGGAGCTCCAGTCCCTGTCCGCCGCCGGCGCCCAGGTGGAATCCGTAGTTCGGGTGCGACGATAAAGTGGCCATTCTAACGGTTTGTCACTCAAAAAATCTTTTTCTTCAATCAAAAAAAAATTGTTTTCTTTCTGTGTACTTCTTTGCTTTGTCTCTTTTTCGGTAATCTCTCTTTTATTGGAGGTATTCACTTCACTGTTTCTCACAAAGGTCTGTGTTCTGTTTTTTTTTTTTATTTGTGGACTTGTGCTTTAAACGAAACGTCTCTGACTGGTTTCTAGTGCTGCTCGATGCTTCTGTTTGGGCCAACAGCTATTTTCTGACTGATTTGTCTGCGCAATTATTGGGACCGACACGACTGCAGTCAAATCCAGTTTTTCTCGCAGCCCGGGCGCTGGGAGAGCGGAGCAGCGGAGCAACCACCCTGGCGCAGGTAAGTGGCGGGTGTGCGAGTGTGATGGCATGAGAGGACGGCAGGCTACCTGAATGCTGCCGTCGCTCTTCCTCTCTTTGGCTGCGTTATTGTTGGCTTTGTTCCATTGGCTCTTTTATATCGGTTATAGTTGTTCGCCCATTGAGGGGTGTGTTCAATAGACGAGTGAATAGAGCCAAAAGCCAACAGCAGCAGCAGCAACAACAACGACAACAACGACAGTTTCTGTGTTCGGCTCTGCTTCGTGTTTTTCGTATCGTTTGCCGTTGCGACCTCATTCGAGTGTTGAGAGAGAAAGAGAGAGAGAGCGGGAGAGAGTGACAGAGAGAGGAGCATGAGAGAGAAGTGCTTAGGGTCGGAGAACATTGATTTTTGCACAGATTTCCGTTATTGTTCTGCAGCGACGTTGCACTTCCGCGGACTGCATTGTGGGAGAGAGGGGGAAAACGAGCTCACTCGCTCTCCCTCTCACTTCCTTCTTCTCATTACTCTCTTGATCTCTCTTCTATCTAGCGCTCTCTCTTTCTCTTTCCCTGTCTATGTCTCCCTCTCTTTCTCGCTTTCCCCCATGTTCACGAGTGTGTGTGTGTGCTTGTGCTTGTGCGTGTGTTGGGCCAATCACAATGGGCCTTTGGTGTGAATTTTAGTCCATTGTGGGTGGCTGTGTGCGGCTATGTACAGCTCTATATGCCCGGGAGCTGTATTTGTGTGTGTGCGTGTGAAAAGGACTTTTTAGTTTGTGAAAAGGACATGGAAACACGCTTTCCATTCTCTCGCTCTCCGCTCTCTATGGCCATTCTTTCGTTTCGTCTTCCTTTCTTCACCATTCTTCTCCCTTCCCTTGTTTTGTTGTGCTACTTCTTCCCCGCCGCCCGAAAAGGATATTACTGCAATTATTTACTTATTTGGCCAAAGAAAAGTGGGTCCGGATAAAGGAGCGCACAAAGCAATGAGTGGAAATGAGGCGAAGCTCAGCCAAAATGCATGTAAAGTGTTCCTATATGCTTGCCCCCGGCTGTATGTATGTGGAGTGGTTGCGGGTGGCAGGTGGGTGGCTGGAGAGTGGGGCGGGTGGATGGTCTGAGGGTGGTGCGGGTGGCCGCCTAGTTGCCTGCGATTGCACAATGCCCGACAAAGGAAAATGTTGAAAAATGTATAACGCCAAAAGTATATGTACATTTATTTTGATACGTTTCGTTGAGTGGAATTTTCTGTACTCTTTCTGGAGAAGATAGAAACTGGCGGTAAACCTTTGCAGTTTGATCATTTTTCAATCTTCTACCCAGTACCCATTACTCTACGAAGATTGGATACAATTTAATATTATAATTTTAATAAAAATCATCAAATATACAGCATTCATGCGATTACTGGCTTAGTTTTGTCTCCCATTACAGCCCTACACTCCCCCTAGATTCTAACCTGACACTTTCTCTAACGCACACACGTGTGAGTACACACACACACAGAAACAGTGCAGCTTGCAATTGCATTCAAAATGCTCTTATACCTGGCCCATGGCATAGAGCATAAAAAGCTTTCAGCGTTCTTAACGTTTCCTTTGTGTCTGCGTTCACCAAAATAAAGAAGAAGAAAAACGAAAAAACGAATAAAACAACAAAAAACTCAAATAATAAATAAAGAAGAAAAAAACTGTTGATGTGTTGTGTAATGGAAAAAGTTTTGTTCGTGCAACGTTTTCCTTTCTAACCATTCAGCTTTTTCCTTAGAATAAGTGAGTGGGGGCGAGTGAGATAGAGACGGAAGGACACACAGTGGATAAGAGGGGTTTATTGAGGAAGAGAGACAGACAGAGGTTTTTTGCTTTTTAAGAAGCTATCCCCACTCTTTGTTGCGAAAGTACGAGTACTTATGCATAACAGTATGCACATACATACATACATACATACATATGTATATCGTAATTTTATAGTTCACATTTTGGTAGATTCTGCTCTAGACTCTCTACTGGGTATTATTCAGTTATGTGAAAGCCCCGAACCCATTTGCCATTAACCATTATCCTTTCACCTTTCTCACTGTCCTGCTTAACCCCCAGCTCAACTCCTTCTCAGTTCTCTGATTCTCATTATCCTCAGAGAGTCGCGCGTTTCATTGTTTGCCCCGCGCCATTGTTGATTGTTGATTGTGGATTGTTGATTGTTGTTCATGTCATTCAATTTTCATTTGGGGAGCTGGTTCTTTTTTGCAATATACGTTTTTTCATTCTTTCATTCTGTATTGTTTTTTTTTTTTAATTAAATTCAGTAACAATCGAGCAATGTGATATTCAACAATTATCACAATGAATAAATGATAATGAGAAAAATGAAACGAAAATAAAAGCCAAACGAGGTTACATTCTACCTTTTATTCCAAATGATTGAATTGTTCAATTATTGATGTACGTATTAATGTATATATGTACATATGTATGTATGGGTATGTATGCATCTTTTTTGCAATCGGATTTCCATTTATACTTATATAATTCTGTATGCACGACACCTGGCATTGGATGAAGAAAAATGAAACATTTTAGCTGGATTTTCTCACGTATTTAGTTCCGCCTTTGTTCATTTTGCATTCGAATCGAATTTCCCCATCCAATGCTCTGCCACCCACTAGATTTTCTCTTTGATTCCTCTCGTTGTGCGGACGTGTCCATTTGATTGCTTCACAGATTTCAGCGCTTTTCACATGTCATTCTAGTTAAGAGCATTTTTGGCATGCTCACGAATATTCCTTCATTTCACCCGCTTTTCCACTTTTCCGATGCTGATCTGCTTCGTGCTCTTTTTGGGTTGGAAAAATGAAAAATTATGGCATATTTATCAGGCAGTGGGATGGAGAGAGAGAGCGAGTCGCGTCACGTCGGGGCAGGCAGGACCTGGTTGGGATAATGAAAACATTTGGCTGTACAATTTACGATATATATGGACATATTTATGTGCAGGAAGAAGAAGAGACATGAAAAGTGTATTCCATTTGAATACATATTTAAATTTATTAATTTATTATAATTTACAGACTTTTATCACGGTTAAGAGATTAACCAGATATTTTTATGTATATATATCTTCACCTGTGCTCAATATCTTATCTAAACATATACCTCATCTCTATAGCGAAATGCCAAATCACAGCCTAGTTACCAATTTGTTCCACTAAAATCAACGAAAACTATTCATGGGGAGCATGGGAAAACATACCCGAGCTACATTTTCAGAACCAGGCGTGATTATGCGACAAGAAATGGCCAAATTGTCTCAGAATTGTTGTTTCTCAGCTCATCCGTGGCTCAGGCCATTAGGAGAACAAAACAAGATAATATTCAATGGAAAACTGTCCTTATAGATAGGAAAAGGACGCCCACATGTGTTGTCGACTTCCGTTTCGGCTTCACCTGACGCGAACCGGTTCTGTCATGGATATTGCACAATCCCATCCCGAGGAGGAACAACTTTTGTATCCGTTTTCCCCCATTGTTCTACGCTCTATGCAGTTCAAGGGAACTCTAGGAATGCATTTTGTTGTGTACTATTTCAATAAACAATGCTTTGCAGTGGACTATTTCCGGGGTCAGTTATTGTTATTGATAATATATATTTTCCAATATCATCCTGGACAAAAGCATTCAGCAATTCAGTTTTCCTAACAATTTGCGGTATTTGCTAGAGGGATAATTGGTGGAGAAAACACGTGTAAGCCCGCATGACTTGGTCGTTCCGCTCTGGGTTCGAAGGAATGTGGGAAAATCGAATGCAAATCCAATTGTCGGAGCTGTCAGAGCGTAGGCCATCGATGGCCACTCATAATCCATGCTCGATTTGAGCTCATTACGGTACCAGGTCCTAGATGTCATAACAGATTAACCAGGAACCGTTCACATCTCTGATTCTGATTCTGATTTGGATTCGGATTCGGATTCTGATTCCACCTCCTTCCCTTCCTCCATTGTTCAGAAAAGTTCCTCCATCAGCCACTTGGACTAAACGATGTTAATTTCTTGAACGTGTACGGGTACGGGTACGGGTACGGTGCGGTTAGGGTTAGGGCTTCACGGGTCTGTTCTGTTCTGCCTTTTCGTACCTTTCCCTGGCTAGGATCTCAAACTTGAGGCTTTTTTTTCTTCCCATTTGTAATCGAAACGAGCCACTTAAAGAGCTACGCGATCCTTGAGTCAAATTTCTGTATACTTGGTTTTCATATTTCATTTCTTCTCATTTTTGCATATTTAGGGGTTGACTCCGAGGGGGTGTGGAGGGGTGGTGGTAGGGTGGTGGCGGGCAGCTATGCTATTGAAGTGCTTTGGTAGGTCTAATTTTTGTTGTCGCTCGTCTCGGGGCAAATCGTCGCCGTCAAAGTGCCCACTCGATGCGACTTCCACTCAAGTGCGGGCCCGGCCATGGAGATGGAGTGGCCTACACAGCGGAGGAGAGGCAAGTTCCGTTCCTGGTCGGCGTGCCGAATCCCACGGTGTGTGTTTACGACCAACAAGCACAGTTGGAATGAGTCCAGAACGGTCTGCGACTCGGGAACGGTGTCTGGCCCTGGGTCTGGGAGTTCAGCCTCCGTGTAATGCGAGAGGAATTAGCTGCCCAAATTGTGTCAAAATGTGGTTCTTGTGGTTGTAGCCCGAGGGCCAAACATCGGTTTTTCATGGGGGTGGTCGTGGGGCGTTTCCCCGGAAAAACCACAGCCAAATGAGGTCCACTCACCTGATGGGTGAGCGCCTGTCAAAATCAGTTTATCGTTGGCGTTGGCGTTGACGATGACGATGACGTTTCCAACCCCCGATGACTGGAATCGGTTTGACAACCTGCAATCATCTTTGCTGGTGTTGGACGCCCACTTTTGAGAGCGTTTTAGAACTTAATTAGAAGCAGCAGATACAAAGCACGGAATTTGAAGGAACACAAATGTTTATTACGATCAAGTATATCGGCGCGAGCAAGCGAGGCGAGTGGGCCGGGGGTTGGCTATGCTATCCATACACAAACCAGTCTGATAAAAAACTAAAACACATAGAATTGACGTGTATAGCCACTGCTACCATTTCGTTCTTGAACCTCTGCAGTATTTCCTTTTAAGTCCCCCCACCCCCAAAAGCATCTCCGTCTCCCTTTCGTTTTCCCAAACTCAATTTCAATTACACTTGGCTGTTTTTCCTCTCCTTTTCCTTTGACTTTTTTAGGTGCGGCTTCTTCGCGTAATTAATTTCAGTCATTTGGCAAATGGTTTCCCACAAAGTCAAAGGGTTTTATTGAGCGCGTTTAATGTTGGCAGAGATCAAAGCGGTCTTTAAGCAACTGAAAGACACCTTGACACAGGAAACACCCTCCTTCTGACGGAATGGCCCGGCCCCTTCGCTTGTTTGTTTGTATTTTCTATTTTCTATTTATTTTCTTTGGTCGAATGAAACATTTTCACTCAAGTGATTTGATTTGGCGAATTGAATTTTCATTCCAAGTATGTATGCATATCAAGACCGAGGCTTGGAATATCAGAGTGCCCCCTGCTATCCCATCCCAGGCTCCCCATCAATCAGTCATTCAGTCATTCAGTCGCTCAGTCAGTCAGACTTGGCGGCGTCGCCGTCGTCGTTGTCGCTGTCGCTGTCGTTGTTGTTGTTGTTGTTGTGCTGATTGTTTGTTTAGCGTCCTCCCGCGAGACTCAAGTGGCAAAACATTATTTTGTTCAGGAAATTCAATTAAAACTTTGCGGTTTTTTGTTAGAATTTGTTTTTTTTTCACTTTGGCTGTGGCTGAGGCTGTGGCTGCTGCTGCTGCTGCTGTGGCGGCTGCTGCTCCTCTGCTGCTTTCAATATTCAAGTGGTTTTCAATCAAAACGAGGCGTATTATTGAACCTATGGGATCTGTGAGGGAGAACAGTGAGGGAGCGGTTCCACGGGCAGGAGTCAAATCAATATATTGAAGGTGAGAGTTGGTGGGTGACTTGTGCCTAGAAATACCCTCAACGGCATTAGAAGTAGTTCCCGGTTCTGGCTTTAAATAATACCCGTTTGGTTACCCATGTAAGGCAGTCCTCCATTTTGCCTTTCTGCCCCTTTATCATACTATTTTTTTGGGCACTTCATCGAATCCTTCAATTCCATCCGAACTATCCGTTCCATTGACACATAATCAATGACTGCCTGAAATGGAGGAAAAATCGCAGCCACAAGTGTCGAGGCATGCAAATGACAGGCCGCATGGCAATGGCAATGGCAGCCCCAAACACACACACAAATATCAAAATCAAATTCACTCAAAATAACATTTAATAAAATCAATGTGCTTAAAAAGTTTACCCCGAAAAAAGGAGAGCGCACACACGGGAATAAAATCATCAATTTCACGTTTTGGGTGCTAGATAAATTTCCATTTCCATATGGGTGAGTGGAGCAACACCCCCCGAATACTCTCCCTTCCCTTCCGTTCTATTGCATTCCATTCCATGGGCAGCGACAGTGTTAAATCAAAGAGCAAAGCCCAAATGCAAACAAAGTTAACAAAGGTCAAACCCTTAACCCTTGCTCAATAGCCACCACCGCCCTCCCCCTTTGGCGGCCCACCCACAAGCCAAATAAACGATTGCCAAAAAAGAAAAATAAATTGCAAACTTTTGTCCTTTGTACTTTGATTTGCATAAATAATTTACTTTAAACAAACTCTTGAGTATCCAAACGAACAGAACGCAAAGAAATCTGAGCAAAGAAAAAGGCAGTCAATGCTGAGGGGAAATCGAATTTTCTTTGAGTTCTAGTGGCAGTTCACCTGGGAAAAGTCCATAATTCTTCCTTGAATGCTTCTTGAACAATTTACCTTTGCCCGATCCCGAGCCCAAGCCCAAAACCAACTCCCAAAGGATTCAACTTGAGTTCAGAAACATTTTTCAGGATGTTTTTCTTGTTGCTGTTGTTTTTGTTGTTGTTGTGGGCTGTGAAAGCCAAAAAGAAAGAACAGACCCTGGAAAACAATTACGATAGTTAAGGCCGAATCACAGACGGCATTTAAAAGTCATTTGGCAAACGCCCCTCGCCGAAATTGCGCTATAAACGATGTTGCTCAAGGATCATAAAGCGGCTCCGGGCAGTACGAGTATAGTATGTTTCTAGGAATAAGCAGAATGTGAAAAACTGTTCGCATTAGCATTTCACGTTTTCCTGCCTCTGGCTCTGCCTCTGCCCTTCCAGCGCTCAGCTCGTTTTTATTGTTATTGTTTTACAATGTTTGTGTGGGCCGAGGAGGGGCGTAATTAAACAGCTTTCCCAACCTTTTTTTATTGCTGGAAATTTTCACAAGTCGACTAAGAAAACAAGATTCTACTCTCTACTCTATAAATCTTTCTCTACTCAGTTTACGAAATACGTGCTGTAAATTGTAATTATGGTATGAAATGGTATCATTCCATCTTCCATGTATCGAACGTAAGAGTATTTCGCCATAGCATTCCAGTAACTAATAAAATTGTGCAAATTTTGATGATTATATTAGGGTAAGATGTATTCATTTCTTAATGTTTTGTATGAACTGTTATTCTGTAGTTATTCCCAATAATAGTTGTGTTCCCCAAATGAATAATCCCGAAAGTGAAAAAGAGTAAATATTCAAGAAGGACAAGGAATTCCAGACTATTCCATTTACAAATTGGTTTCCATGTACAAATATATTTTCGACAATTTGAATGATCATTACAGAGGGGTTTATTCCTAGTCAAGAAGGTCAGGGAAATGTTTTACGCTGAAAAAATAAAGGAAGTGGGCGTTGATCTGGGCCTGGAGGTGGGCGTGCCCACACCATTCACAGCTGCCACCGAAGCTGAACCCAAAACATATGATTATCCGTCGAACTCGACACCTCAGACTGTGTGCGTTCAGTAATTACATGTGGACGGACCCACCCGGGACACAAAGCCAAGCCGAAGCCGATGCCAAAGCCAACGCCAATCGCCAAAGCTGGGAACATACTTTCTGGCCACACTGTGACATATTCAAATGGTTATTGTTGGAAGCCCTTTTGTTGTGATCGTCAAGGGTTGGACACCATATCATTAGCGCCACACCCGAAGGAAAGTGTTCAGAAGGGGTTTGGGCTGGGAACTTTTGCACGGATCGAATGGGATCGCAAAAATCAAAACTGAGACTTGGCTATAGCTATGGCTATGGCACCGGCAACACAGCGGGAACTAAATTGCTCTATTCAAACTCAATTAAAGTCAAGCTGCGGCAAGCTGGGCCTCTGAGAGCAGCTCAGATAGTGAGTAGTGAGTGATCCTTGCTCTTTAACACTTTCGTATAGAACTCTAGGGCCACGGCTACCCTCTATCGTTATTTCATTCCATTCTTTTGTGCTCGAACGCGAACAAAGGCGCCTGCTAAACGCTTCCGGCAGAGAGGGATCTAGAGGGAGACCCTCGAGGATCTGATACCAGCCGATGCCGATGCCGATCTCAATGCCGATCCCAATGCCGATCCCACGCATAATCCGGCAGTGCTCCCATTGATGTCAATCATCGATATCCCTCGCGATACGGATACAACAATGCAAGGTGTCAGGCCTTTGTTTGCGAATATTTTTTCTTCCAACCTTCAACCTTCGGCCTTCATCTTTTATTCATTATTTTCCCTCTCCTCACTGCTGTGTCGCTGCTACAATTGCAATTACGTAATCGTTATCATCATGTGCAAATCGATAAGCGGATGTTGTCCTATGCCCCCGCTCCATTGGACTCCATCTTTATTGGCCCAGACCCATAAAAGATGTTGGCTTAATTCAAATGGCCGCCACTTGCCGCGACTTGGCTCTGTTTGCCAAGTCATAAAGCGGAACATTTATGGTGTCTTACGAGCATGAGATGAGGGTGGATAGAACGGATTGGGCAGCATGGTTCATTGCTTCATGGGACTTATAAACGGAACTCTATAAAATAGAATTGTTTGCTACATTCATCTATTCGATATTTGAAGGCGGTTTCAGTGAACTGTTGCTGTGAAACGGACTGTCGACTCTCAATTTATTGCACAAACCGAACAGATTTCAACAAGGCTCAATAAAACTTGAACTAATTAAGTGCTTCGGGGGTCGTCAGGACAGAACAGGACCGGGAAGAAGGACCTCAGAAGTTGTTGTTCTCGGAACTCTCCGACTTGCGGGCGGTGCCAAAGAACTTCTCGTACTCCTGCTGGCGGCGACGGGCCCGTGCCTCCCGCTCCATTTGCCGCTTATTGGAGAAGCGTTGATGAATACGCTTCATTTCCTGGACCTCCTTCATCTCCTCCTTCTCCTCGTCCTGCAAAATAGAGGTTGTGCATATCATCTCTGAGCAGAGAAAAGAAAGAGATCTAAGCCTACGGTCATATTGAGGCGCAGAACCAGGGCTCTTCTGCCATCCGACATGGGCTGACTGTAGTGCATAAAGTTCTTGAGACGCTCCGCTGGCGGGACACTTCGCTCCACAACTAGGACAATCCGGGCCCACTGGCGCTGCCACTCGTTGCGTATCTCGGCTATCTTCTGGTAGGTATTACCCATCATGGCGATCAACATGTTGACCAACAGCACACTAACAATCACCATGAAAAGGAAGAACAGGATCTTGGCCTCGTACTCGTGCTGGGTGGAGACCATGGCCCCGTAGTAGTCCCCGAAATTTGTCAGCGACATCAGGAACATGGCCACAATGGACTCCATAGGCGAGGGCATGGGATTCGATTCCGCATCCTGGTCCTCTGGCGTCGAGGGATTATCAAAGGTGAGAAAGATTATGTAGAAGGCCTGCGAGAAGCCCAGCACGAAGACTAAATAGATGGAAACGAAACGGAGCAGATCGCCCATCACCATGCGATATATCATCACCACGAAAGGACCAACGGTCTTGAAGCCACTGTGAAAGGAGGATTCAAGGATTAAAGCTAGGCAATTTATATAGTACTTGGTAGTAGATGGTGTTTACCGACAGAAGAACAGAAAGTATGGAGCTGTGGTCAGCATTATGAAAACTGTGACATGGTCATCGATCTCGGTGAGACAGGAGACCCTCAACCAGGGTATGGTCATCATCAAAGCACAAGAGAACAGAAACATGACTCTCGAGGGAGCTGTCATCTATGGGAATGGGAGATACAAGCCTAAGATAAATGCTATCGATTGAGGTCGGAAGATATCGGTGCTTACCAAGTTTTCTACAAACATTTTATAGCCCAGAAATCTAGCCTCCCGTAGAGCCACAAGCAGATACAAGATCGCGCCCACAAAGTTGATCATCTCGGCCATGATTCTGAGCTTGGCCAGATCGGATTCGAGATTCATGAGCGGACACTGGGCATAGCTCTCCCACCAGGCGGGCAAGACTTCCACCTCATTAGGATCGTAATACTCCGTGAAGTTCAACCAAAAGGTTTCTGGAAAGAAACAAAAGAGTTACTGATGGAAGTCCCATATCCGAGCAATACTTAACTGTACTCGGTGCTAAGGGAAGAACCCCTTTTGCTCTGTTGATGGTGAACATCGGAGCTATCGTTTCTATAGAGATCATTCTTAGCCGTAGTGCTGTTTGCATTCTCCTCATCCTCCTCCTTGGCATCCGGACCTGGCCGCAGTATAAAGCTGAACAGCGAGATCAGAAAGTAGAACGCGAACATGTAGAACTGCTTATAGAATCGCGACTTGCAGAACGTGTCCCATTTGGTCTTCAGGAGATCTATGACCACGCCATCCAACAGCTCCAGATGCTCCAGCTTGTCTCCAAAGACGACGAAATTCAGCACCGAGTCCTTGTTGATATTCCCAGTCTGTTCGTTGATCGTGTCGATCATGAGCAAGGGGTACGCGGCACAGGTGATGCTGCCCAGCTGCCAGTAGATCTCCCTCTCGATGCTCATCACATGGAAGAACATCTCCACGCGCCCCAGCTTGGCAGCCAGCGTGAGTGGGGTCAGGTTCTGGATGTTTTTCACGTGAATGTTGGTGCCCACCTCATAGCCCACATCGAACATTTCGATTTTCTCGTAGATGACCAGCATGTGGAGAACGGTATTGCCATTGGTGTCCTGGAAGTCGGGGTCCGCTCCCCGTGCCAGGACCAAGCGGAAGCACTCCTCCTGCGACAGGCAGGCGGCAAAGCTCAAAGGATACTCGCCCCAGTAGACGTAGCCATCGTAGTTGGTTATGGGACAAAGAGCCACGTACTCGTGATCTGGGGAATCCGTGCGCGAGAATTTTGTATCCTCCGCCGACATGAAGGCCCCACAGCAACTAATTTCAATAGACTTGAGTGGTCATATCGCTACGCCTTGAAGTTCGACTGGTACTCACCGCTCTTGGACATCGGCATTGGCATCCAACAGATACTTGACCATTGCCGGATCCTCGTTCACTATGGCTATGTGCAGGACGCTCTCCCCGTAGTACTCGTCACTCATGTAGATGTCCAGTATCAGCTTTGGGTAGAACTTGAGCAGTCGCTTGGCGAGGTCCGCGTGCAGTGAGGAGGCGTTGAGCAGACACAAATGAAGGATGGTCTCGCCCACGGCTCCGCGCTCCTGTAAGGCAGAAGGGGAATAAATAGGGGAAGCTTCTGGAGCACAGAAACTCACATTTAGATCCCAACACACGAATCTGTAGGCACTCGGATTGGAGATGTACTCTGCCTCCGATACCTCGGGACAATAGTCGTGGATGTTGAAGTCGTCGTCGGGGTTCTCCAGGGCCCGGATCTCGGGCAGCTGTCGCGTCCTTGGGCGGTCTCGATTGCGCAGCAGCACCAGCTTGGAGATGGGGAAATACCGTCCTGCACCCTTGTTGTACAGAAAGGGCTCGACCTTGGTCTTGATGGCGTGGTCGATCTCCGCGAACTGTTTCGTCTGGCAGGCGCGCTTCATCATGTCCACGAGGAGGCCGCCGCCCTTGAGATTGACAAATTTGTAGAGGGCCTGTGTGGAGACTCCCGCCTGTTTTTTGACGCCACTGGTCACGTTGCTCTCCGTATTCCCCATGGTCCGAAAATACCTTTAACCTTGGACCTCGTGCTTAGTGGTGTTTTTTTTTCTCTGATTAGTTTTCGTTTTTATAGCGCGACATTGCTGGATTGCATCTATGTATCTGTTCTTGGAATTTCCTATGTTATGGCAAGCTTGTGTGGTCCTTGTCCGTTTTGGGTATCGACAAAACATTCCTTCGAACTCCTCGTTGCCAATGCAACAGCTGAACTTGAGCTCCATTTTTCTGTTTACCCTACGTTGCCAGGACATCTCGGACCTGTTGCACTCACTCACTCAACAAGTTCAGGTTTGTATCACTCTTTTTAGTATGTCCCTCACTATTGTGTTTACAATTGGTAAGTGTTAGGGAAACTTGTAGAGTGCGGGGAAATGAACAGTATGGGTATATGGTATATTGGTACATATATTGGAAGAAGTATACTTGTCTAGAATCATCATTTCCTTATGCCAAACTGCCAAACCTTATGATCAGGCATCTATTTATTCTTAATTACCATCTGTTGTTATTCAGTTGTGTATTTTTGTTGCATTTTTTGGCACATAAACATTAGGAATGAAGGAAGGAATGAAACATACAACTACGAATGAGGGTCCAAATTCGGATTCTACTTTGGCCAATATACATGTACATCATGGCAGCTCTAGAAGGTATGTATGCCGAAGATTAGGGAGTTCTTTCGGATCGCAAGAAGGCGTGGCACTCTTAAAATTACAAACAAACAAGAGATGTACATTTCTTTATTCCTATTGAATACCACGATGAGCACGTAGTGAAATGATCGCCAAATCGCTCCCAGTCAATCAAGGGCTCACAAGAAGGTCCGCCCCAAGTCGGTCCATATATCTGAAAACAAAAAATATAACAATTATTTTGAATTGTGCTACATGGCATCTACACTATGTAAATTGTTACTACAAAATCGGCGGCGCCACTGTATGTAGAATGTGGAACACTTCATTTGGTAAAATACCTGAAGACATCTATATTTTCAACCGAAAATAATGTAGAACTAAGTGGCAACATTTTCTATGCAACTTGTATGAAATTAATAATTTTGCAACATTCTTCGGTGACAAAAAATTTCAAATTGGTATGAAAACTTGATTTTTGCAACATTGTCTAGTCTAAAACATCGCAATATATGTTGCGTGCTGCGAAGAGGCGATTTTGGATTTCGATTTGGATTTTGAAATCGAACTTTTGGCTTTGGAAATCCATTCCATCCAACAGTTTCATTTTTTTATTTATGTATCAAAATTGATGAATTTTTTGAATCGGTAATGGCCCGGCTGACAACATTTAAATCCTTGTCGTTCCGTTCAAAAAATGTGCATTTGGCGCGCACCACTCGGTATATTTTGAAAATGAGACCGTATATTTCGGTGCTGTTCTGAGGGTCATACTGTAACTGGTTTTCGCCGTGCTCCCATGTGGTGTTTTTTAGTGCGAAATGGTATTTTTAACAATTATTAATTTAATTTTCAATGTTATATAGAAATCCAATAAATGCAAGTATTTCGAATAGGCCAATCATGTATAGAATTGATTCATCAATCGTACAAAATTGAGTGGGCATGGCTAAATGTTCCATATAGATAGTATTATTCAACGGCACAAAGAATTTGTCGTTTTTTGAATCGAATTTGAGTTCGCCGCAGTTCGCCGCAATTCGCTTTAGCAACAATGAGTCCCATTCCATACACAAATGTTGCTAAACTACCAGCAACATTGCAACTGTTTTTTTTGTTTAACTCTTTTGCTTAAATCTTGTTTAGTCAAAATACAATAAAAGCAAGGGCTAAAAACTGGCCAGTTAAGTAAAAAATTGATTCATTAATCGTATAACATTATGTGGGCATAGATAAAGGCCCGGTTGACAACATTCAAATCCTTGTCGCTCACATTCAAATTTGGCGCGCACCACTCGGTATATTTTTCAAATGAGACCGTATATTTTGGTATTTATTTGAATCGGGTAGAATCTGTAATTACCGGTTCACAACAATGAGTCCCATTCCATGCACAAATGGTGCGCATTCCATACACAAAAGTTGCAGCAACATTTACTTGAAACCCGTATTGTAGTCAAAATAAAATACTTACAAGCAATTTAAAGATGTTAGAAAATAGAAAATGTATTCATCTATGGGATAAAGCTAAGTGGGCATCTATAGCTTGAAATATAGGCAATACCCGATTCGCCGCAGTTTGGCTTTTGCAACAATGAGTCTCATTCCATACACAAACATGTTGCTAATTCCATGCACACATACCCTGGGGGAAATGGATGTTATAGAATTGTGAATACGTTTGTCTTACAAGGCTCAGTAGGTATGAGGATCGATACAAGATACTAATAATACACATGCATAAGTAAAAAACATGTCAATTTGAGAAAAGGTCTTAATAAATTGCGTTTGATCTACATATAAAATTAACGAAATAGGGTGCCCAAAGGCCTATACACGCATCATGTCTTCAAATACTAGCAACATTGCGACTGTTTTTTTTGTTGAACTATTTTGTTGAAACCTTGTTTTAGTCAAAATACAGTAAAAGCAAGGACTAAAAACTAACCAATTGTGTAGAAAATTGATTCATCAATGGTCTAAAATTATGTGGGCACGGCTAAATGTGCTATATAGCTAGTAATATTCAACGGAAGAAAGAAAACTAAAATATAAGTTGAATTCTTCAGTATATTTGCGGTATATTTTTCAAATGAGACGGTATGTTTCAGTATATTCCCGATGGTCGGACCGTATATTTTATCGATAAATAAAAACAGCCGCTCGCCTCTCTCTTTGAATTAAAATTAAAACGCGTTTAAAACCATTAGCAGGCAGTTTGCACAGCTTTTATCGCACAACCGCAACACACAGATAAAATGGCTGCATCGATGAGAGCGCTGCTGAAAGTGCGAGGTAAGAATCGAGAGATACAACTATTGCGAAACATGGTCAGTGGCCGCTGCAGAACCCCGCATAAATTATATAACTTCGATGGATTTATGGGGTTTGAAAAGGAAAGCAGACATAAGCCGTGTATTACAGGTAGCTGTAATCCCGAGACTAATTTGGATTAATCTGATTCAATTGGAATTAATAGACTGTCGTAATATGCCAGCGAAAACGACGTGGCTGGAGGCAAGAAGAAGCAGCAGCAGCTGCTGTTGAAGGTGCACTGTCTGGTGAGGGGGGTGGTAGGGGAGGTGCGACCGTTCAAGGTCCGCATGTGACCCATCGAACAAACAAAGTTGTAGCATAATTAAACACAGACACACACAAACCAGCACATCCACACAGCCACATCCATACCCAACTGATAACTGATAATGGAAATGTTTTTCCTTTTCTCCTGATTGACTCTGTCTCGCTCTTTCAGATGGCTTCGTGGCCGGCGTCCGCTGCAATTCGCAGTACAACAAGACGCGAGGCAACCTGAAGCTGACGGGCGACTCGAAGGTGATCTGCCAGGGCTTTACCGGCAAGCAGGGAACTTTCCACAGCCAGCAGGCTCTGGAATATGGCACCAAGCTCGTTGGCGGCATTTCCCCCAAGAAGGGCGGCACCCAGCATCTCGGTCTGCCCGTGTTCGCTTCGGTCGCTGAGGCCAAGAAGGCAACGGATCCACATGCCACTGTCATCTATGTGCCACCACCTGGCGCCGCGGCTGCCATTATCGAAGCTCTGGATGCTGAGATCCCACTCATTGTCTGCATCACGGAGGGTGTTCCACAGCATGACATGGTCAAGGTCAAGCATGCCCTGATTAGCCAGAGCAAATCCCGCCTGGTGGGACCCAACTGCCCCGGTATCATTGCGCCCGAACAGGTTCGTAGTGCCAGAGGCGCCCCAAAGAGATAACCCGTAATGGACACTGGTGCAAAGTTCAATCGATCGATTCGGACCGGTCCGGTCCCTATCCTCTGATTGTCATTGTTTATGCGGCTTATCTCTTTTCTTTCCTTTCCTTTCCTTTCCTTTCCGTCTGACGCATGAACCGGTTGGACTCTTCTTACGATACTCTCTGTCTCTCTCTTTTCGGTGTAGTGCAAGATTGGCATCATGCCGGGTCACATACACAAGCGCGGCAAAATCGGTGTTGTTTCTCGCTCGGGCACCTTGACCTACGAGGCCGTGCACCAGACCACAGAAGTGGGTCTCGGCCAGACCCTCTGCGTGGGCATTGGCGGTGATCCGTTCAACGGCACTGACTTTATCGACTGCCTGGAGGTCTTCCTCAAGGACCCCGACACCAAGGGCATCATTCTGATCGGTGAGATCGGTGGTGTGGCCGAGGAGAAGGCTGCCGACTATCTTACGGAGTTCAACACGGTAAGGAACGAGGTTTACGCACAAAATGAAGGATATTTTCAGATTTTTTGTGTAATCTTTAACAGGGTATCAAGGCCAAGCCTGTGGTCTCGTTCATTGCCGGCGTTTCGGCGCCACCCGGACGTCGTATGGGCCATGCCGGTGCCATCATCTCTGGCGGCAAGGGGGGCGCCAACGACAAGATCGCCGCCCTAGAGAAGGCTGGCGTCATTGTGACCAGGAGTCCAGCCAAAATGGGCCATGAGCTCTTCAAGGAGATGAAGCGATTGGAGCTAGTTTAGATAAGCCATTAAACAACATTAAATATTGAACAAATCGTATGACGAAAGCCAACGTACCAACAGTACGCACTCATCGGAAGAGAAGATCTATGAAATGAAGGATTATTACCAACTAAAATTAAGCAAAAAGATTTGTCTGCCCACCGCGGCGAGCCGTAACTAAAATGAATTGTGTCGAAATCGAAAAGAAGCATAAATAAATTATTATTGTAAAATTCCGCTTAAGTGCAGAAAATCCCGAAAGAAAAATATGTTGCGGCGCGAAATGTATTCCAAGAATTATGTTAACTACTGCCGTACCACCAACTTGAACTAAATACATCCATAAATAACTAAACTAAACTAAATATGTCGCACCAAAGTCAAAACTCTTGAAATCCA